CCCCCCCCCCCCCCCCCCAAAGCTCAATAACAGAGCTGTCAGATTCAGCTGAAAACGGTCCACCGAGCTCGCCAAGAAGACCTGAAGGGAAGGTTCTGATGTCTGAGCCAAAGCCCGTTCTGCTGAATCGTGCTGGCAGGACTTCACATTATGGAGATAAACTGTTGAAGCGGCGACATTCTCTAATCTGTGGACGCAATGTGTGACAGGATGCTGACATAAAAATTGAGCTCTGCGGACGCGAGTTTGTGCTTCGTCTGCTGCTTGACTCAGACGCTGGAAACTTCCGTGTGGTTGTTGGAGACCCGGCAGATGTATTAATACTTCCTGGGTGTTAATTAGACCTCCTGAGACCCCTGGATTCTTCACACTCTGACTGCAATGTTATCATAACCTATAAAACCAGTGGGCAAAGCAACTAAAGCAAGCCTCAGGTTGTAATAAACTGTATTTTATTTTAGCTCTCCTGTGAAATTAGTCAAATAACACTAACACTCGTTTCACAGTCATCCCTAAATAACTTGTGAGTGCGAGTTCACAGCTTTTTCCAGGTGTGTGTGTTACCTGTAAACTCTTTCTTGCAGCGATCTCGTACACTTTCCTCCAGATTCTCCAGCTGGTGTTTCACCTTCTCGTACTCTCGTTCTGCCTGCTGACTCTTCCTCCTGTTGGAACATGCACCGAAGACGCAGACAAGAAGAAGATCAAGAACACATCAACTCACAGAAATTTGTTTGTGTGTTTTTTTTGATAATCTATCGCACCTGTAGCAGTAGACGGACACGGCGATGAAGAGCAGCATCGGTATGATAACCGCAGGGATGATTATAGCCAGAGGAATGTCGTCTTTTCTGGCGTAGTAGACCGAACCCACCATCCACTCGCCGTGACCAAACTTTACCTGTAGAGAGACAGAGATTATCCAGTGTAAGAACAGTGAAATGAAAACTTTGACTATTTAAAAGTGGATCTGTTGAGTTTTTCCAACTTGACTTTTGAGTGAAAATGGAGGAAGTCAAATATGGGGTTTGCTAATCTGGTAGATGGAAACATGCTAACCCTGTAAATGCGCATCATAAATGGCTGCTACAGGTAGGGCCTGGCATCTCTTTTGAGCCCCATTTTATCCTATATTTTGGCAAATTGGTGCCATCAATAGTAAGCCGAATTAGCTGTTAGCAGTCCCTGTTTGCAGTGTACCCATGGATGTACAGACAACTATCACCGGATTACTTTGAAACTGAAGAAAACGTAAAAATTGGATTATTCTAAAGGAAGTTCTGTAGAGTCTTTTTTCTGATGATTTCTGAGCGGATTTATGGACGTCTCTTCCTGATGACATCGGAGATAATGATATCCTCTGGATGTAGTCACACACTGAGTGAAATTCATGTTTTTCATGTCTGTGTTAAGATTTCACAGAGTTATGACTCAGAGTATGATTTTTGACTCAAATTCCCCTCACACAGTATCTGTAATTTCCCGATAGTTAGAATGTCGTCTGGGAAGAATGAGTTAAATTACAGAGGAGCACAGGGAATATTTTATTCCCCACCGACTCCTGTAATGTTAATCCCTTTTAAATGAGGCTTAGGACATTGTAATTTTAGGCACATGATGCCTACTACTGTATTAACCCTGTTTTACATGAATGAATTAAACATGTATGAAGTTTAGTCACTGAGTTTACCACAAGCTCCAGCAGGTCGTTGGTTGTGTCCCTGCGCTGGCGTTTGGACCTGGATTTGGGCTGTGACGAAGGAGCCTCCAGGATCAACTTATCATCCTGTACGGAAAGAGGGAAAGGAAAGAGTGACCCGACTGTTGGTATAGTTTGCTTGGGGAGTAATGGATTACATGTTAAATTTAGTTAGAGTTAAATTAAGTCAAAAAAGAAGATTATTAGCAGATTTTCTTTAAAAATTAACTGAGCAGAGGCAAAAAATCTTGGTTTCCATTTTTCTTTCTGAGGTTACAGTGTTATTATAGAAACTATTCATATTAAGGAATGGAAAGTAATCATGTTAAGCTACTTTGACAATGTGATTCTTGTATTAGATACATTTTTAAAGAAATAAAGCTGAACACCTAAAATAAAGAGTCACATTAGCTTTCCAACTCATCCACAAACTGTGGTTTAAAACAGGGTTTCCCAGGTTTTTTATGTCAGTGAGATGTTTCCCTTTCAGTTTGTTGTATTTTAATTGTTTCTGGAGTCTAGAAAGCAAAGATGAAAGAGGAGTTGATGTTTTTTTTTCCTTCTTTCTTTCTTCACATGTTAATAGTTTTGCCCCTCAGCTTCATCTTGTGACGCTGGTACAAAAACACCATGTCACATTCACTTTAGTCATAATTTAAAAATGCATGCGGAGGACCGGAAAAAAATAAGCTGCATCCATCTCTTCGCTTTTCAGGCTTGGTGAACTGGATAATTGTACGATGCAACACGCTTGATCAATTGAGGTTGTCATCATCAAAGTCATTTCTCACCCAAAAATAAACTACTGAGGAAGCAGCGGCCTAAGTTTTAAAACTTAACACAAAAGGTTCTCAACATTTAGTAGGTCAAACTTTATTTTATTTATTCTGCATTTGAAGAAGGCAAACACCTTCATCTTTCATCTGTGAAGTGTGGCATTTCTGCTGCATTTCTGGAATCCTGTGTTACTGCAGCATGAAAGCATCACCTACCAGACTCAAAAAGGGAATTCAGTCGAACCAATGTGCCCGTCTCATATCTTACATTTAATAAAACTCCATTATCAGCTCCATCTTTTCCAGTATAAATCCATTATAAAGCCATTATAAGTGTCTGGAGGTTTATTTCTTACGAAGCTCTTTTCCAGTGTGTGTTTACCTGCAGTATGTTAACGTGACAGGACGCGTCTCCGACAAACGCCTGGGCCTCTTTGGCCGTCATCGCCTTGGAGAAACCTCGACCCTGATGCAAAGAGAAAGAAAGGGTCAGCAGATCAAGATATAAAGAGTGAAGCATGTGTCAATTTAACCGTCTGTCCTCACTGTGACGATGATGATGCTGGTCTCGGTGATGACGTTCTTGGCGAGCTCGTTGAAGGTGGGGTCGGGGTGGTAGTCGAAGCCCTTCAGCTCCTCGTTCACATTGTCCAGGTAGAGAACCGTCCTGAGGGACTGGCTGTCGTAGGGGGGCTTCACCGCCGGAGACTCAAACTGGAGGAAAGTGTCGTTCTTACTCAGAGCCTCCTGGACAAACTGAAAGAGAGAGAGACAGAAGTTTTCTGTCTTTACGTTCAGTCAGGACCAAATTACATTGTTCGGTTTCTTCAAACGCAGACAAAATAGAAAACTCTAACTACAGGAAAAGTTTTCGAATTCATATCATTTTCTTCTGATGGTTAAAAGATAAAAGTGTCTGTTTGTAGTGATTCTACATTTTCAGTCCAGCTGTAACTTTCACTTCAGATTTCCGCCTCCCCTCTGTCTCCCTCTGTCTCTCCCATCTTTCTTCCCTCTTCAGTCTGCCTCCCCACTGTGCCCGCCGCCCTCCCCCCCGCCTCTGTCTTCCCGGTTCAGACGGCGGCTTTTGATGAAGCGACGATAAAACGACTTCACCTCCTCTCCCCTGCAGTGAATCTTTCCTAAGAGACTCTGTCACTCAAAGCTATTCAGCAGTGAAATAGAAGCGCTGTCCCCTCAGTTCTGTTTTAGGTTTCTGACTCAGACAGAACAAATGTCACTTGAAGCTGCAGACCGATACATCCATGCTGATATTATGCTTTTATTAAAATAATTGATTTGGTCCCGTCGGTGTCGTCCACCTCTAAAATTAGGTAGTTTGATTGATTGCACATTTTTTGCAGAGCTGATCAGTACAATTGCTGCAGAGACACGTTGATTAGATCCTGAAGAAGTATAAAACAAAGATTGATTGTCTTTTTTGGTCTAAAACTGTATCAAACACGTGCTGAAATGCTGAACACTTGACCCTTTTTGACAGTTTTATTTGTATTAACAACAGCTTTACTATCATTTTGATGCTACACTGACCTGT